AACAAACAATGAACAGCCTGACTTGAATGATGGGGGTAAAAGTTGATAATTCAACCATAAACATTGCTAAAATCAAGTCGAGCTGATTTAAAAAAAAAGATTGAGAAGGACTCCAGGTAGAAATGAAAGGGAGTCAGGTTAGATGGATATGTCATGTCACTTTCCTTCAACGAGGCAAGAGCAAACAGCAAAGCAGTTGGCCCTGTGGTTATGTCAAAGCTTGTCATCATGACGTCGTTCAAGTCCGGTTACCACAGGGTGCTTATAAGCCCTAGTAGTAACTTGCGTACCTCCTCCTCCTTCCCACCATCCGGCCGACGCCATCTTGTTCTCGCTTCCGCTCCAGTAGGCAACGATCGAAATTCCCATAACTCTCTATGCAGCCGGAGGATCGTCGATTATCGTTATGTTTGCCAGAGAATACCTCTCGATACAATCCAGTTGGTAGCAGAGGGTTTAAGGACATTTTTTTTCTAGCAGTTCTTGTCGGAGTTTTTCATGATGGAACACAAATAGTGGGAATCGTCTTGGCCCTCACAGACAAGGTCAAGCCTTCCTTCTTTGTACCGTCTGGAAGGGTGATTCTGACGTTTAGTCACTTTTATCAAATTAATTCTTGACCCCAGATCGTCCCGTGCGACCAGCTTAAATCGCTCACTGCTTGGGATGCCTTTTGTGGTCTTCCGAGACTCGCCCTACTCCCTCCTCTTCGCCCTAGAGACCGCGCCCCTTTGGGGGTAGATTGCGCAACCGCAACAACTAGATCCGATGCGGTATTTCTTTCAGAAGACCCACCTCCTCTGAGTTGAACCCCCNCCCCCTCCGAGTTAAATGCTGCCGTTTTGTGACGACCGCCACCGCCACCGCCACAGCCAGCCAGCACGGTCCTCACGCCTCCGCCCAAGTCATCCCATCAACTCACATTTCATGCTTCCTCTCCCTTTCACTACTTCCCTGGTTTGCTTTACGACATTCAACCTTTTTGCCCTTCAATGTCCCTCATTAAACCCTCCTCAACTTGAAATGTGCTGGTTAAATCGCCTGAAGAAGGGGCAGGGGGAGTCTTATTCGTGCACATCGTTTCACCAATTAGCATGTTAAATCCGATTATTTGCCGAGGATTTCAGAAGCAAATGCTGCACAGGACGCTTCTGAATGTTTTCATCCTATTCTGCTCTTATGCGTCCTCTCACCTCACATTGGAAATCGACAATGGAGTCATTGGTTCGTTTTGAGTTTTATTATTGTAGACATTTTTCAACATCTGAATTGTCTGGGTTAAGGTTGAGTTTCTCTCATTTACTTGTAAATTAGACTAGGTATGAGGTACAGGATCAATGGAGTCGTTGGTTGGGGGGAGCTTATTCTTAGGGCGTCTCTGACGGAAAAGACCAGAACCTTTTGGATACGCCATCCGGCTTTCATTGGGAATCAGGGTGGTAGCAGCCCTGATCCTCATAAATGTTTTAAGTCTGTGGTTTCAGCAGCCCTCTATCTACAAACTCTCCGTTGATCATTTAACAGGAACTAGGGTCTCGGTAGCGGCTCTGAATTTCAGCTTGGCAGTCTTTGGATTTTTTCGAGCCACCAGTTCTAATTCAGTAAAGGTTGCATTTCATATTCCTACTAGTAAATTACCACCGTCGGTGAGGCATAGTTCCAGTAGAGTCGTCCGCCCTACCCTCCTCTTGAGGCCTTTCTTTAGCAGAAGATATCCCGACCTCATTTTCACTCGGGTAAACCTTTGTTGGGGAGAAGGACCAAGCAACAGATTCCAAGCCTGCCAATTTTCATGCGACTTATATTCCTCTTAGGGTGAATTTTGAGCATTACTGACCTTCTAGTAAGTTACGAGCTCTGCTACGAGGTAATGGGTCAGTAGAGTTGTTCAGTTGGGTGGTATTACTCTGTTCTTGGAGCTCTTCATCGACAGGAAGGACTAGGGCCTCATTTGTACTCGATTTCACCTTCACAAGACACCAGAATCTCAAGCGACCCGGTTTCTGATCCTGCGGTCCTGATATTCCTTTGCAGCCTGGAGGTATATTTTTAGTAAAGGTACTACTAATCTAATAATGAGTTACTACCACCTGTGACGCATTGGNTCACCAAGCAGGGTCGTTTGGGTAGAATGACCATTTGGGATTTTCTTCATGAAAGCCGGAGAAGCCCATTAGCAGTTATTGTGCCTGTATCCTGTGCCTTTGGACCTTTGTTCCCTCTTTTTCCTAAAACATAATGATGTAATACGGAGTAACTTATTGCGAATAAGAAGTGGTCAGCCGAGTGTCATAGCTGCTAGGTAAGTCAAGTTTTCTGGACAGATCATGACAGACCAAAGTACCCTTGACGACTACATGAGTACGTTGATGGTTCCGCGTGCCTATTCAATGAAAACATTGACGGAGACCGATTGTCTGACTGACAGAAAAGAAAAGAGATTCGATCTAGGAAGTCTTTTAGCCAGTCAATTTTCCTCTTTTTAATTTTCATATGGTCTCACCTATACCGTCAAAAGTCTCACTTTCTTTAGGACGTTTAGGGCTGTTCGATCCTATCGTTTGACAGTAAGCCGAACCAGTTCCGTCTAACTAAAAGTATAACCCGATAGTAGCTTCAATTCTGTGGCAGAGCCCTAGTTTTACAGGACTAGGGAGAAGTCGTTCATAGTGCAGCCTAACCCCAGATACCGTAAGCTTACCTTTCTACTTCCCAAAGATGACGAGATAGGAACTGATCCCCTGCTCGTGCTTTTCGGACTTCGTGCTCCTTATGCCACAAAATAATACGATCTCCTTTGCCCTCTTTTTCACCTACTCCCCTTACCTTACTACTTGTTTCCTACAGGAACTCACTCATGACTACCGGGAGTTGTTATATGCATTCCATGGCGCCAACACCGACCTCATTCCAAAGTATAGTTCGAGTTCGAGCTCTAGTCATCCGGAAAATACAGCACTGAGATGTCAAACACGAGGATTTCTGGTTTTCTTACAAATTTCTCGACCTTGTCAAAAGCCTGGAGAAGCCAGCCTAGGCGAAGCGGAATAATGCCGTCAGCCGTGTGACATGGCAGAAGCTAGCAGTCCCACTAATGTAAAATTCTAGTTTGGAAACTACCCCAATTTGTCAGTTTACAAGGTTAAAGACCCGGTTGCAAGCTAGATAAGGTCTTTGGGAAAGGCAAAAAATTGAGGAAAAAAATTAGCTGACATATTTGTTCAGGTGAACCTGAGGTACAATGTGGTTCGGATTCGATTTCACTCCTTTTCCATTCACGGAATCCTTTTGGTGGCAAAGTTTTCGTGAAGGTGAGTTTTTAGTAGCACGTTTTTGTTCCTAATTCGCACCTACAGGCCCCACATTACCAGTTTAGCCAGATCTGGTCATTACTAGAAACTCGTCAGGTAAAGTTGAAGTGCTCGCTGAAGGGCGGAAAGCATCATCCACCAAGCTAATTGCGGAAGTATGAGTAGCGTGACCATAGCGGTCGAAGCAACGGTCATTACAAGCCCGTCAATTTGGCTAGTTGCCAACAATTGTCTGGTACCTGTTCCCGTATTGTTATGCTGGTCTAATACCATGTAGTTGTTGGTAGACATTAACTATGCCCAGGTGTATGGGCAAAGGAAGACTAGTTACTTTTTTGCGGAGATGATGAGGTACTGGAAAAAGGCGCAAAAACCGCATTTATGGTCAAGGGATCACATTCCACAACAGGCTCTGCCATCCATTGAGATCAGCTAATCGGTATAAGATTGGTTTGGGAGGGTAGAAGTACTGTTTTATAAGAGCTGGCCCAGCACGACGTTGTAAAGAAGAATTACACCAAGCAATCTGTCAAGTGTATGGCGCATCCCTCGACAGGACTGACTGACGCGATGCAGTCGAGGCGGTTTTCTTAAGATTCGCCAATTATGATCATTGGATTTAGCGTACACTACATATTGAAAGGTATTTGTAAGTTTTATTTAGTTCAGGCGAAACTGTAAACAAAAACGTAAACAAGTGCTCCCTACTCCTCAATAATACTTAGAAAAACAATGCCTCTCGAAAGAGAGTGACATTAAGTCATTGAACTTAGAAAAAGTCGAGAAGCATTCTATCATTGAAAGTGGAAGGAATCGAGTTCCTTGGCTTTATGTAACTGGCCTTCCTCAAAGAACGGATTCTTAAAACGTTAAGTGCCAGGGCGAAAACTGGGAACTGTCGAACTTCCTAAACAATTTCCCGTCAGGAGCATTTGGGAATCGATTCCAGCTGATTAAGAGCTCATCATTTGAACATTTCTGCAATCTCCCGATTGTCGGGATTAGAACGTTAACGTAGCCAATGTCGTGCTAGGGCAAGAAATGATGGATTTTGGGGGCCCTGGATTGCATAGCTCTTATATAGGCCTATAGCTGTAAGACCTTCAAAGCTCTGAAACTATACGAATTGGGTCGTAATGAAGGAGGTTCTCCCTTTTATGGGTTCCGTTTGAGTGTAGAGGGCTTCAGGCGCCCAGTAGATCTTCCAAACGACTTCCGATCAGAGGTATTTCGAGGTATTCGGGCTTTGTTCCACTATATGAGAATCCTCCTGTGGGAAGCGATCAAAACCAGTGTGGATGGAAACGCCTCGAGAATCCAGAACAAAAATGTTTTTTCAACTTTCAGACCACCACCATTGCCCATGGATCTCACATAGGCGCCGGTCCTTAAGCACGTTCTCAAGATTTTTCCGAACAAAATCTATTTTTCTGCTTTCGTCTGTGCTCTCTCACCGAATAAGAGTCCAAAACTGCTAACTTGTTGAATTTTTTTTTGCCACAGCAAAGGGCGTAGCTTGCTTCGCATCCGTAGGATTGCCTATCTTCATGGTTCATAGAGTTTATAGGATTCCAAGCTCCAGAATTATCTAAGTCTTCTGCCTCCTGAGCTTAGTGGATATGAAAGGATTCGAATAGAAAGGCGATGAAAAATTGAAGGGAACTGCCTTTTCCTGTTCCGACAGTTTTTTATGGAGTAGCCGTAAGTCAATCGCAGTCGGAAGCTAATCGTTTTAGAGCTGTGCTCGGTTATTTTCTGATTGTAAGGACTTCCAGCTTTGTCAAATCCAATAAAAATCGTTCAATCGAGTTGCCTGAAAGGATTACAATCGAACGGAGCTTTTCATAGCCTCTTCCTCCTTTGTTGTCTCTCCTCTTTGTCTAGCCACTAAGTTGCGATAGCCGTCAGTAATCGCCTACCTCGCGAAACTTTTCAAGGACTTCCTCATGTGTCCTAATTTATCCGAGTTTTTTTTATAAAAAAAAACTTCTGGGGATATCCCTTCCCTTTCCTTCAATGGAGCATATTTTACCCACATTTTATCTTGAAGTTCAGCACTATTAGTCTAGGCAGGCTACGGTACTTGAATTGACGTTCCCTGTTTTTCAGGGATTCGTTGCTGATGGAGATTGTGTAATGATGGGTGATAACAAATTGGATCATCGGTTTACCGTGAAACATGATGGCTGCGGAGTTCGCCGGCAGAGAGAGGTAGGTGCCAAAAAGCTTTCAGTTCTAGAAGATGCCCTACCCAAGGCATTTTGAAAACTTATAAATTTGATTCAAATTATGGTTTTATAGAAAGGCTTCGGCGGGTGGGGGATACATGTTCTCGAAAGGATGTCGGAAACGCCTGAGTGTGGGGTTCCCAGAAGCTTTCGAGTATGAGAAGTTCTGAAAAAAGGTTGGAAATTCGAAAGATGGGTATCCCAGAAGCTTCAAGTGGAAGAAATTCTGAGAAAAGGTTGGAAAATCGAAGGAAGGCTGACTTCGGCATCTGAATTCATTCGATAAAATTGGTTTTAATGAAAGATATGAAGTTCTATGCTCTAGTACAGTAAAACCAGTAAGTCTTCACAGTGAAATCCGTAACACAAATGGGACTACTAGTGTGGGCGAGCAACATAGGATAGAAGCTTTAGGAATGTCTGCACTAAGATTTTATACCCTCATAGCATTTTGCGCCAAAATAAGGGTCATACGTGAAAACTACAGTAATTGGTTCAAGTTGTGTAAGGGAATTGATGCCGTACCGTGAGTACTATTACCAGACGGCTTTGCACATAACCCACCCGAAAAAGTATCACGGAAGGAATGAAATTACAAGACTTACGACTTTGTGCACTCAAAGAAATAGAAAATTTGATATTATATTTAATCATTTCAGGTTAACGGCGTTGTAATCATCACCACTGTGATCGTTTCTTTTCATCCGGTTCGTTTCGTTTTTCTCGCTCCTCAATTAAATCGAGCAGTTCTCGAAGATGTCCATTTTTCAGATTTTCATTACCAAAGTGGATCGAGCATACCGTATGAGCTGTTTCTATGTGGAAGGCACTAAGAAAGTGCAACAACAACTTGATATAGCGTCAGTGATCGTTTTCTATGCCAAAGATTTCCCCCTTCCTGCTTTTCCCCAATCAGAAAACCAGATTTGTGGATCCGAAGCAGCCCAGTCCCTATCAAGTGCACTTGAAAACCTCGACCGACTCTTGAAATTCGCACATGACGCAACATTTCAATGGCATTTCCCAGTTGCGGCTTGTGGTCTAGTAAAGCCGGCTTCCCCGCAAAGGACATTGCAGTTGGTAACGGTAGATTTAGTAGGTAGTAAGCGCAAATATACCCTAACTCGCTAGCAAATAGAAGCCGAGGCCAAGTGCTGAGGTGAATTGGTATGTATGTCGGCGATCCGTTAGCCTCGGCATGCTGTGAGAAACCAGTTCTGAACGTCGGGCTCATAGCTGACGCTGATTTTCGCTTATACGATGCACTTGAATGGGTCCAACAAAAACGATCTATCTTGACGTAATTGGATCCCCCTACATCATTCAATCCACCTTTGACAAAACCACAATGCCAGATAATTCCCATCAATACCATGAAAGAAAAAGAATAAAGCTTTCGGCATCGATCAATCCCGTTTGGAATACACCCTCGCCTTCCATTCAGAATCGTAGTGGCTGTTTGAATGCGACAATGGCTTGGGGTGAGGGAGGTGAAGAGGGAGGAAGGGAGGGGGCTGGAGAGAAGTACCAAGTGCTCTTAACCACCAGATGAGTCTGATACCAATTAATCACTCCGTACGGGTGGATCTTTTAGTTGGCGTGGGCGGGTGTCAAGCCGAGATTCAATCCCGAAACTATGTTGTTGCTTGGCATCATACCATCTCCGCCCGAACTCCCCAGGTTTCTGAATGCCTATGTAATTGAACTTTTGAGAGGTAGGTACAATAGCGACATTATTGTTCTGGGCCGTGTCATCCGCGATTCCAACTCCGTACCATGCCTGGCGGAACGGGCGCTTCTCGGCAGTAAGCCACGTATGCCTCACAGTCCAAAATTTATTCTTCTAATAGCTACCTTGCGACTAAATGACTAAATTTCAGAGCGCTCACCACTCAAGTCATCGAAGGACAGACGCAGTTGCCAGTTTGCAGGTAATGGTAGGCCAGCATGAAAGTTATTTCGATACCTTCCAATTATGTTGACCGGTTCATGGGGATGGTGTGGATGTTCCCAGATTTTCCTTAAGGTCTAGAAATTGCTATCATTTGCGGTTGTCGTTTCTTCGGGAGAATCTTCGGGTTTTGCTTAGACTGCTTCAGCTGTATTCAGTGAATATATATAGTGAATTACGGGGATTGGTGAAGGTTTTTTCAAATTGAAAATGAGTTGCAAAGAGACTTCATTACGCAGGTTCCGGCTTTTTCCGGATTTCTCCGCCCTCTATTGATCCCGTACC